ACAACACCTTAGCACAAGCAATACAATCAGTAACACCATAGCATAAAGCACAGTTTAGAAAATGACTATTTGTGGTAGTTATTAATCTGTCACTTCCATCTATGTGAATTAAAGAAAAGTTGAGACTAGATTTCATATTAATCACCTTTATGACTCCCTATAAATCTGTGGTTTGAATCCAGTTACCAGCCCAGCCAGGAGCTGGAGGCACATGGGGGGAGGGTGGCTGCAGGCATGGCTGCACCTCTCAGAATCTGTCTGCTGAGGCCCATTGTGGTGGGGATGTGTTCCCAAACAAGTTCCACATGGCTGTGCCGCTCACTGTTCCTCTGCCATGGCCCAGGATGATGGGGCTGTGGTCCCAGGCAAGCTCCATGTGGCTTCACCTCTCACCATTCCTCTCTAGCAATCTATATTTATCTATCAAATTTACTATTCTATATTGTATTCACTACGTGTTAAGTTTTGTAAATTGTCCTAAAATCAACACTGAAAGCAGCAGACATGATTTCACACAGGTTCTGAGGGTTAGTAGTCTTGACATCGGTTACTTGGATGATTAAGAGTCAGGATTTTTATGAGATTGCATTCAAACTGTTGACTAGTTCTGCAGTCATCAGCAGACTTGACCAAGAGTGGAGAATACCATGACTATGGCCAGAAGACTCAGGTCCACATGATCCGTGCCCAGGTGACCTCCTCTCATGACTGCAGGTGCCTCTCCCCACAGGAGCTGGGTTTCTGTAGGACAGAGCAATTTATTTCCTTAGAACTGTGCCTTTTCATTTTCTTTTCTTATTTCTGTTATTAGATCATCTAGACCTGGGTTGAATAAGAGTGATAAATATCAGATATTCTTGCCTTGTTCTTGGTCTTAATAAATAAATATTCAGCTTTCACGACAAAGTTTGATGGATCACTAAGCCATTTGATTCTCTGTATCAGGGTGATGTTCTTCTTATTACAAGTTGTTATCATCAATGACTATTAGATTTTAGGAGGTCCATTTTCTAAATTATCTATTGCTGTTTCAGATTATTCTTTGCCTATTTGTAGGGTAGACTTCTGTGATAAATTTTTAAATGTTCAAGTAACTTTACATTGTTGAAATAAATTTCAGCTGATTAAAGTGTATAATTCTTTTTTCATAGTGTTTAGTTCAATTTTATGTCTTAGGAGGATTTGAGACTAAATTAATGAGACAATTGTCTGTGGTTTTCATTTGTCCTATTACTATTTTTGTCTGTTTTTGGTATCAGAGAAATACAGGGTATTCAGTCTGTAATGTAAGTTAGACATTACATTAATATATTTTAATAGAGTAATATTTAATATTTTGGAAGAGACTATAAAACTAATTTCTATTTTTCTTAAAATATTTCCTTAAATTATTCAGTGAGCCCATTAAGGTATTGGGATTTTTAAAGATTATTTTCATTACAGATTAAATTTATTTCCTGATTATAAGACCATTAGAATTATGTATTTTATATTGTGTGAGTTTGATAGTATATGGGTTTTGAAAAACTAGCCCATTTTTCTAACTTGTCAAGTTTATCAGTATAAACTTGTGGTTTTCCTTTTCTTGCTTTCCAAAACTATGTGATATTCCCTGGTTTCATTGATAACTTTCATAATTTACATCTTTTCTCTTTTTATCTTTGTTAGCCTTATTAGAAAATTTTTAGTGATAACTTAGTTTTGTGAGAACTTGCTTTTGGTTTGGTTTGGTTTTGTTTCCCTATGGCACTCCTGTATCATTCCATTTAATTCTATTTTTATTGCTGCTTTCCTTCTGCTTGAGTTTTATTTCACATTAGTGAACTAATAGGAAAAATTTTAAACTGAGACAAAATCTAGAAGAAACAGAAATTTAGAAAATGGACCTTGCTGTTCCCATAAGGACAGTTTTTTATTTCCCAAAAGTTGCCTGAGAGATGACACATATATATTTTTTTTAATTGTGTGATTTTAAGGGGGTAGAAGTCAGGTTCAATTTTTATGACAGAGTAGTATTCAATTGTGTATAATACCATGTTGTTTTACACATTTATCAATTGATGGGCATATCGAATTTCCAAATTTAACCATTACAAATTGTGTTGTTATACACATGAGTATGTATGTATGTATCTCTGTAATTTGATGGTTTTAACTCTTTTGGGAAGATATATATAGCAGGAATAACTACATAAAATGGAGTTTCTATTTTTAGTTTTTTGAAGACATCAAATAAAGTACACACACATTTAAATATTGTATGGTTTCTCTCACATGAGTGACCCAAAATGTAAATAAAGAGCAAAATAAAAGATAGATAATAGGAAATAAGGCGATCTTTTTCAACTGGGAAAGGGAACAAGAATTGCAGGAAGAAGCAAAGGATAGAAGATTTTTAAAAGAATTAAAGAACAATAGAAATAGAACTTTTGAAAATAGTAAGTGTATAGAGAATTGGAGAGGGCAGGGAAATGGGGCAAAAATAATTAAGATGTGTAATGTAAAAGGACCGACTTCATGGTAAGTGTAATCATTTTATACTGCAAAACATGTACCTATAAAAATTAAATTTAACAAAATAAGTTGAGATCCTGTTACAATTTGTATCTTGATGCTCCTCCAAAGCCTCATGAGCCTTTTGGGGTTTTTGGAATATCTGGATCTAGGGCATGTGACACTTAGATTAAGGGTGTGATAAATCCACTCATTGAGATTAGTATAGCTCTGCTTGCAGATAAAGGGAAGGCCCACCCTGGAGGTGGGTGGCACCAATCAAAAGCCTTCTAGGAGAGAGAAAAGGCAGGCTTACTACTGCTGCTTTGCTGTCTCTGGCCTGCTGTAACCCCAGCCCCACCCCTGTCATGTTGCTTTGCCTTGGAGCCAGCTGACTATGGACTGAAACCTCTGCAGACTATAATCCAAAGTATATCTTTATCTTTTCTCATTACATTGTTGATGTCTAGTAATGTGTTTCAGCAGTGAGAAAAAGAAAGATCTCTAGAAGCTACAAAAGAAAGAGTTGAAATATGTGAGACTCTTTCTTCCTCTTCATTTCTTTTTCTTTCCTAGGTATTCTGTCTATTAAGATGGTCTACATATAATGACAGTTTAGTAACAATGAGTATGCAAAGTACACAAGTGTTGATCTTCTACTGAAATGAACTCTGGTTATCTGGAAAAATAGCAAGTTCTAGAGTGAGGGCAAGAAAATACAGGGTAAGCCAAGAAATAAATTCCCAACTCATGGTGTGGTGGCACATGCCTATAATCCCAGTACTCAGGAGGCTAAGGCAGAAAATTACTTCAAATTTGAGGCCAGCCTGGGCTATGTAGTGAGTTCATGGATACTCTGAATTGCATAATGAGACTCTGACTCAAAAATAATTAACTAAGCTCCAAAAAATGTGACAGGGGAATGTCACAAAGACTCACAGATGGATAAAGGGACTCCCACTGGCCAGATCTGGAATAATCTTGAGTCTAAAAATATTTTGTACAATATCTTCCTATGTTGAATTTGATGTTTTGCTCTTGTTTACACAATGGCTATGGGTTTGGTGAAGAAACCCACAGAGCAAAGTGCGATTTGTATCGCATATCAAATACAACTGTGTTATGGCTTGTGCTTAGCTGTCACTCAAAAGCCTCATGCTTTTCCAGAGGTGGTTGAATCTAGAGTATGTGATGCCAGGTTTAAGAGCATGTGATTACCAAGCCACAACACATGAGTGATTGGTGTGGCACCACCCTCATCCCAGGAGTCTGAACAAGATCAAAGGGGCAGGAAGATGCTGGAAAAGTTCTCTTTTTGCTTTTGCTACCATGTGGACACCATGAACCGTTTCACCTGAGATGTCCCTCTGCCATGTGCCACTCTGCCTTGGAGCCAACCAATTAGGACTGAAACCTCTGTAAACTGTGAGCTAAATAGACCCTTGTCCCTTTTACTTTGGGTGTCAAATATTTTGTCTCAGCACTGAGAAAAGTAACTAACACAATCTGTTACCTACACATTTTATTCCCAAAAATGTTAAGCAGAGTCACTTGGCTGAGGGAACTTGCCAGACTATCCTACTCTAAGGCAATCTTCCCTCCCTGGGATATTCAGTATCTCCATATTCTTCACAAGGAAAGCATGCAGTGAATCGCACAGTCAAGGAATGGGGTGTACAACTACTCATTATTAGCTGTAAATCTTCTGGGCAGGATGAGTATGTTTTCAACATTCAATCACAACTCAGTCATTTTTATTAGTGTAGAAACATGTACATTTTGATTTTGCTTTTTTGTTTTGTTTTGTTTTGTTTTTTGTGTTTGTTTTTTGGAACTGGGGGTCAAGCACAGATCCTTGTGCTTGCAAAGCAGGCAGTGGAACCACAAAGCTAAATCCCTGGCCCAAAATCATGTACATTTAATTTACACTACAGGTTATAATCCAGTATGAGTTTATTTGTTTGTTGCTCAAATTGAATTCACAATTTCATATATTATTTATTTATTATTTATTTATATAGATGTGAATACAGTGGTACCTCAGTTCATGAATTCAATTTATTGTACGATTCTGGGAAGATGGCCATGTTGGTATTATTGCAGGGAAGATGACCAAAGTCTTGCTGATCAACTGATGTGGAGTTCACAAACAGAAGTAAAATTTTCCCAAACACTTCTGTTTAGGAACTGAATTATTTGCTAACAGAAGTATTCATGAACTGAGGTATTCCTATGTGTAGTAAATGACCTAAATTTTTTTTTTAAATCACAAAATAGCTTGGGGCATTTTTCATTAAACTAACAAAATGGACTATTTCTACATCATTTCCACAGATTACACTTTGCATAGTATAGGAAAGAAAAAAAGATAATACTACTGATTCTTCTTCACTAAATATATGAACTTGATCTTTCAGAAGACTTCTTATCAATCTAAAGTGATAAAAAATGTAGACTGGTATGAAGAAATGTTTAATCTCAGACACATTAAGGACAGCAAAGCACTGTCAGATCTCAGTTCGTAACTTCAATGTGGAACCTTTCATTTGCTGCTCATAGTGTATATCAAATCTCTCATTCAGGGCTAGTGTAAAGTGATTCTTCCAGTCTCCTGAAATTCCTGTGAAGAAAGAGAAAAAAAATAGTCAGTATTGCATCTTCCCAACCAAAATTGTGAAATTTTCTAAAATTAGTCACTTTCCTTATCACCTAGTCAAGTTTTTCTTATAATCCACAATTTTTGCTATAAAATATATACATAAATGTTATATTATTTGAGTTTACCAAGGTGAATTTGTCTCAGTTGGCTTTTGAAAAGAAGAGAAAATTTTATTCTTCCACTTTCTTCTTATGTGATTTTACTTCCCTTTCTCCTCAAACATAGGGTCTTCCATGATGAAACCCATGTTTTCCCCATTCCCAAGTAATTAATTAAATATTTTTATACTAATAGCACTCACTCCAGACTTCTGCTTTTATATTCAGTTGCCCATATGACACTGCCACCTGAATGATATACAAGTATTTCATTTCATTTAGCTCAAAATAAATTCATTTGCCCTACAAAATTATGTGCTCTTCACATACTTTCCGATAATCTAGTTAATGACAAGACTAGGTCCAATCCATAAACTGGAAAGTTACCCCTGGACACTAACATGTTAGTGTACTGTTGATATTTTTGGCTTTCTTTGAGTTCAGTGACTCTTCTCCACTTCTGTGGCTAGGGCTCAACTTTCCCACCCATTATTATGACAAGTTTAACAGCCTCTCCTTTCTATCTTGCATCACACTTCCAAAATTACTCAAAGAACAAAGGAATTCCCCTTATTCTTTAGTTCATTAACCTTCTAATCAAGAAACTCTAAACTTGTCTACTGAACTGGTCCAAAATGCAGAAAACAGACAATGTGTGCTACTGATAATCAGATAATGTCCTCTGGCATAGCAAATAGCAGTCTTCCACAAGTAAAACTACTTTGTCTTGGGCCAGATTTTAGCTCAGTGGTTCTTCTGCTTGCCCTGCAATCACAAGGACCCAAGTTCAATCCCTGGTACCAAAAAAAAAAAAAAAAAAAAAAAAAAAAACA